AGGGCACTGCTAAAAGATTTTGCAGGAACATAAATCCAATAAAAGACAACACACATTCCAGGATGACGAGCAGTTGAATACATGACATGTAACATTAATAAGGAAAGTGTTAGATTGGAACCCACAGGGTAAAAAATCAAGGGGAAGACCATGTGGAACCTATAGTTTTAGTAGTAGTAGAGGTTTTACGGCGCTCGCAACTGCACACGGTCATATGAGCGCCAGAAGATTCGAGGTGTCAAAAGAGAGTAACAAACATAAAAAAGAAGAAGGGGAGATAAGGACGATAGAAGTTTGATAGGAAAGAAGAAGCAAACCACACTAGAGCACCCGCCAACCACCCACCCTGGAACCTGGAGAAGAGTCACGGAAACAGATGTACAGAAAAGTGGGAAGACATAGAGTGACATCAAGTGACTAGCCGAGGATAGGGAAAGGTGGAATGTGTTTGTTCGTGGATCTTGACCAAAGGTGAGAAAGGCAATGATGAAGAACATACAAAAAGTTTTACGGCATTTGCAACACAATAAGGCCATATATAAGTGCCAAAGATAAGAGGTATTACAAGAGAGTAACAAACAAAAAAGGAGGAAAGATGAGGACAATATATTAAGTTTGTTGGGAAAAAAAAGAAGCAAACCACACCAGAGCACCCACCAACCAACTACATACAAAATATAAAGAAAAAACAAAAAAGAAAAAGATAAAAGTAGGACCTGCTCATGAACATGAGTATTCTTGTTCAAGATGAGATGAACAGACCCACTGAAAAAGGAGTAGTTTCAGTAAGTTGTATGGCACCTGCTGCAACGCAATTAGGTCATACAAGTGTTGAAGATTAAAGGTTTTACTAGAGAGTAGCATTTAGGAATGGAGTAAACCACATCAGAAATAACATCAAGAGGCTAGCCCAGGATAGAAAAAGGTGGAAGGTGTTTGTCCGTGGCCTATACCCTGGTGCAGGGTGAGAAAGGCAATGATGATGAAACCACATCAGAGCGCCCGTCAACCACCCATGATCCAACCATCATAACTGCAGTCCAGTCCATTTATAATGACAGCCTGTTATTACAGTATATAATAAGTGATAAATCAAATCCCCGGTATTTCCCTCTATAAGTGTAAGTAATATGAACCTGGCTATGACAGGGTTCAATTTGCAAAGACTAGGATGTAACAGTGATCTTGCTATTGCTGTGCATGAACTCGCGTTCGATTCCTCAAATTATTAAAATTTGTCTCAACCAAGACATTTCGCATGTTTTGTATGGCTTGCCTAAACACAAACTTTCACCCCCCCCCCCCCCATAGTTTTGGGGTCACTGATTGATACCGCCTAAGTCAACTCAGTGTCGGCAAAACAGCCCACTGGAAAAGGACCTGCAGAAATCGAAATACATGTACAATAAAAGTAAACAGGCTGAAGGTGCAATGGTACTGGTAGTTTCCCTTGATAACAGGACTCACTTCAAACAGGGAAATACTGCTGGTCCCGTCTGTCCTGTTATATCCGAGTTTGACTGTACAGTGGAAACCTGATATAACAGGGATGGTGGGAGTAGAGAAAATGTCCTGTTATATCAGAAATGCAAGGAAAGTAAGCATTTGTGGACTAATCCAGCTGTACTTATTCATTAGTAGTTGCCCTTGCCATTAGTATCCACGAACAGGGGTTTTGGCACCAACTTTCTCCTTGCCTCCTTAAACCATATCAGAAGAGCTTGGTCCAGAGATTCTGCATCGGATAGTCTCATCTTCTTTCGATCCTGAGCAAACTTTCCATTGGAGTATGCTGCCACTATCTTCTCTCTATCCTTGATAATATTGAGAATCGACCCTTGCGGATTGTCGAACTGACGACAAATCTCCGCCAGTGGAGCTTGCTTTTTGTCAACAGCCTGGATTATTTCGTATTTTTTGCCAATTGAAAAGCATTTTCTCTTGCGCTTAACATCGTTGGTGACACATTACGCATGCGTGTTGCTAGGTTTCTGGCTAGATCGAGGTCTGCAGCACACCGCAGCGGTCTCTCGCTTCACGCTGCGTGTGCTCGCAGTGGCATGGCTTGCTCCATCACCACGTTACTCTCTCTCTCTTTCACTCTCTCTTACTTTTTACACATTGTTAACGAGCCTTTGTTCCTGTTATAAGCGGTAGGGCTCCGATGAGGCCCTGTTATTGCCGATAACTTTTAATAGAGACAAAGAGTAGGAAAAAACGAGGATTTAAAAAATCCCTGTTATTACCGGGCCTGTTATATATGGTTTCCACTGTATATCAGCACTGGCTAATGGGCACAAAACCCACAAAGCAGGAAAACAAGACCATGGAAACAGCCTGGACATTTTGTAATCTTTTATTTTGTTTTATAAAGACCAAGACAACAAATTTTAATATTTGTGAATATTTTCTTGAGAGAGACAAAAACAATGGCGTAAAATGTATTGCATTTGATAAATACAACAGACTCAAAACATGGATGGTATCCCTCTCAAGAGAATATTTTCTTTTTATCAATGACTCAATGAACTAAAGAAAAAAAATTTTTTTTTGGAGAAATACTTCAAGGTGACAAACACAATTTTCTGACGCAAACAAATAGAGCTGCACTAAATAGAACAAATGCATGTGTGTCTGAAGCAAGGCAACAAAAGTCCCGTTACTTAATGTTTTATGGAGGAATTTATAACAGAAAATCCAATGTTGAATACAGAGCACGAGGACATTCAAGCACATTGCTATTTATTCATACTGTCGGGGAAGCCCCAGTGAATAGTTTGGTTTATTACATGATGGGGTTCAACTTCACTTGAAGTGCTAGGCTGTGGAAGAGGAGACAGACCACAAGCACCAATTTTAGTTTTAGTCACTCTTGTAAAGTTGCTTTTCAATTTTGAAAAAAAAGAAAAAAACCCCACCCTTTTGATCATTATAATTTCTAATAAAATATAAGTCGAACAAATGAAAATCTTTTCACACTATGGTAAAACTATTAGTAGGGGTATTTTTTTTTGGAAGCGTTTTGGTCAACTTTTTACTTTATCAGCCTTGACACGATACGGGCTGACTTTTTGCTCTCTTCTTCAAGCACACAAACAAAAGTTCCCATAAAAATGCAGAATATAGGAATCTACATGAGCTTCTCGATTGCAGCCAGCAATAGTAAAAATGCATGGAGGAACACAAAGGCAAGGAACCATCAGAACAAAAATTTGTTTATGATACTCCCTCATAACATAGATACAATAATGTGAACAAGCAGTTGCCTACTAGTACTGTGTAAATAACAAAGAAAGACTCCTAAAAATTCATTATTCCAAACGTTATGCAACAGGGAAAGACAAAATATTTCGTCCATTTTATGACGATGATATCAACCATAACGATTAAATTTAAATGTAAGTGAGCTGAACAAAACACACCCAAGTTTTTGAAAGTGGATAACTGTACAGGGCACTGCTAAAAGATTTTGCAGGAACATAAATCCAATAAAAGACAGACTACAACGAATAACAAACTGAATCTTTCAGTGTTTAGTTTTAGTTTTAGTAGAGGTTTTACTGCGCCTGCAACTGCATAAGGTCAAATGAGCGCCAGAAGATTTAGAGGTGTTACAAGAGAGTAACAAACATAAAAAAGAAGAAGGGGAGATAAGTACGATAGATGTTTGATAGGAAAGAAACAGCAAACCACACCAGAGCACCCACCAACCACCCACAATCTTTCAGTGTGAACTCACAAAATTTTTAATGGAATCTTCAAGGTGGGGCCTATAGTAAGGTCGAGGTACAATATCCCTTTCAACACTAAAATTATTCAAAAGGCGAGACTTTCAAGTTTAATCTATATCTCTACCATCAATTTATAGGACAAAGCTGTAAAGCTACATAGGTGGACAACCCTGAAAACTCCCAAAGAACACAAGTTAAAAAAATGCCCCATCATGGATTCAAACCAGGATCATTCCAACCAAAATTAAAAAAGATACTGAACTAATGCCATGCCACCGTGGCCTGAAACACCACCAGTATGTCAAAATATAACATTCCAAATCCTAATGAAGTGTAACATTTTTTTTTTTAATTCAGCACAAATCAGACAAGATCACGCTGGAGCTTCTTTCCTGTCTTCTACGGATAAAAAAAGGTGCCCCAATCCGACACTGAAACACCAATTGGCTTTCACTTACAAATATTTATTTCACCAATTTATACTCACAGGCCTTAACTTGCCTGTCAATGACTCAGTACGTCATGCTTTACTTATCCTTTCATAAAACACTATATCAATTTCACTTTACTCATTACTCTTATCCTTCTTCTTCTTCTTCTTGCTTTTCTTCACCGAACTATCAGGATCTTCAGCCGTTGTGTCCATCGTGGTGTCTTGGGCTGAGCTCAGCTCCATACTTTCCTCCGCATCTTCCTTTGACTTTTTCTTCTTCTTCTTGCTCTTCTTGGTCGAATCCCCATTTGCAAGCTCTTCCTCCTCTTGTGTCGTATTCACACTCTCATCCACGTCCTTTTCCTTCTTCTTCTTCTTCTTGCTCTTCTTGTCTGGTGTTGCCTCCACCTGCGCCTCCTCGGAGACCTCGAACACAGCAGATGTGTTCTCATCCACATCCTTGTCCTTCTTCTTCTTCTTTTTCTTCTTGGCCGGTTCTTCCCCATTGGTCTCCGCCTCTTCCTCGTTCACTGATCCATTCTGTTCCTCAAGTTTGCGTTTCTTCTGCTTTTTCTCCAACTTCTTCTGAACTTTCAGGGCCTTTTCTTTAGCATCAACAGCCTAAAAGAAGAAAAATTAATAAAAATCAATTTCTACACTCTTCAATTTGATGGATGGCAGCTGTCATTAATAGTCCAGTAATTCAGACTCCACATTTACATTTAAAAGCATAGAATAGCACCAATATTGCGAGCTTTCCAAAACCCAATCAAGGGCACCCAAAGACGTAACACAAGACAACATAACAACAAATAAAACCACATGTAGTAGGACTGGTCTTGGGGTCGAAAATGTGATAAGGCTCTCAAACTTTTAATTGCCAAATCTAGGACAGTCCTTGTTTATAGTCAGTTTAGCAGAGTTTTTAATGGCGCTCGCAACTGCACAAGGAGCGCCAAGGGGTGGATGTCAACAGAGAAGTCCATACAGGGAATCAGGTTTACTCTGCTCACCTCTTTAGCTTCAACAGCACAAAGTCTGCTTCGACTATCAAAGCACCCCGGAAATAGCAGGTAACAAGAGAGTGACAAACACACAAAAGAAATAGAGGAAAATGACGATAGTAAGGACTAGGGGAAAAAAAAGCAGCAGTTTCCTGTTGCAGTTCAGGCACAGTTATGAGCATGACATTGATGAATCAGCCCATTTACAATTCTACTGAGCATAAGAACATGTTAATGTCCCCCCTTTGGAAATGGCCTAAAGACACTTCAGTCAGTAGCACCGCCGCGGGGGGTGGGACAGTCCTTGGAAATTTTAGAAAATTGGCAAGCCTGATATAATGTATTTATTAAAGAACGTTCTGTAACTCTGAGCAAAATACCATTTCTTCCCTTCAAATGAACAACATTCAATATGAACCAACACTACAAGACACCAAGCAGGAAAAAAAAATTTTCTAGGGGAAATAATATCATGTTGAATTAAAATAGAGGCATAAGTAAGAGCAGTGAATAAACTTTGAAGGACGGGATACAACAGAGAAAACAGGGCATGCTGCTGCAATCTTGGATGCCATTAACATGTGAAAATAAGGCATCTTTGCACATTTTACTTGAACAGAGAAAACCAAACAAGAAAAAGTGAACAGTAATCGGTTGCCAATTCTAAATGAATTGTGCTAAAAAGTTCTCGTCATGAAAATAAGTCCATAAGCAAATCAAAGCAGCTAATAATGTAGCCCAAAACTTACGTCAGTAACTGCCTGTCTCATGACATCTATGTTCTTGGCGGGATTTTCACCAGTCTCATAAAACTTCAGCCGATCCTCCACCTGCTGCTTCAGATGTTCTCCAATGACAGAAGTGGGAATTTCTGAGAAAACAATGGTGGAGACAATAAGGTAGGGAAAGCACAGGCTGCAGAACCTCATACATGTAAAATTCATCCCACATTCAATGCAAACATGTTCATAAAATAAAATACCGTAGCCTATTAACATGTTTGGTTATGTCTCTGACCTTTATGCTTGGCTATAATTTTGATCACTGAAGAAAGCAAGAACACCGTTAAAAGTACACCTCTTACTTTTTATTTCTGCACTATTTTTCCACAATTTGGCATTCATATGACGACCCAGGGTGACGAGCACCAATTTTTTTTTTTTACCATTGTCATAAGCACAATAACGCACGAGACAGATATATGTCACTTCCATAGTTACCATTTTCATTCATGTAAATAAGCTATGAATGAAAACGGCATATGCATTTACCAAAACACTCAATGCAGTACACTGGCCTTTACAAGGTAGGCGAGTAGAGGAATGTCATTTTTTTTTGTAACCCCGGGGTTGTATTTTTCACATTTTAGAATACTTCCAGTACGAAGATCTCTTTGAAACTTTCAGTATTTCTCAAAAAATCATTTTGACAGACTGCTATGCAAAGCTTACAGATAGCAATAACGAATA